AGGAAAACAAATGACGCCGCTCTAGTAGGCGCGACGAAGAACTCTCTTTGCAGCCCCTTCCAGCATGCGGTACATCCGCCCTTTCCAAAATAATCCCCAGGCCCCGAGCATAACCTTATCTCTCTTGAAACATGGGTTTGTTTACATGCGTTGTGACAAGGCAAACACTTGTTTGTTTCCCTTTCTTCATACTTTTCGCGCGGACAAACAGCAACGCATTTGTCACCATCCTGAAAACAAAACAAAAGGTACTACGGTTCAGCGAAGTTAGGGCCCATCACAGTTTGTTTAAGGTATAAGGTATACAATGTTTTGAAAATACCTGGATAGTTCTAATGTATTTGATTTAGTGTCATTAAAAAATGTAACAATTTCGTTCGTTTAGCTGTGGAGGAGCTGATGTGGTATCCGCCGTGAACATTCATTTCAGAATAAAAGTGAATTACGTGGATTTTAAATTTTTATATAGTGTAGCTCTCAAGCCATTTGATGAAGCTGACTGCCAGACACAATGTCAACATCTGTCACCACAGTTGTCTTTCCTTAGCATCAATCTCAGTCGAACCTAGGGCTGACATCGGTGCCTCACAGACCGTCGCCCCGTATGGCAATCAAAGCGGACTAAGCTCCTCTCTGCCTTGAAAAGCCGCCTACTATGAACTTTCCCAATTACATTTAAGACCATATGCCCCTTGTCTAGACAGAAAGTGGCTATCACTCACGGAACGAGCTGTTGGTCGAATTCAAAGCACTGGCTCTTTTCGTTTCCATCTGACACGTCTTTCCACGAATAAATCAAGTACAATTAGGTACATGTAGTCGGTAACAGCTCTAGGTCAAGCGTCTCACGATTTCCATCCGTACTCCAAATGAGTAGTTAAGGTCACCAAACGCCATTTTTTTGAACAGCCTGATAACCGGTAATCAAATCCCACCTAGACACACCAGTTCATTTAACGCAATATCGACTCATCATTCAATCGTGCAAAGTGTAGACCTCCACGCAATTTTGGGCTTTCGAAAGCTGTGGGTCACAATTTAGAATTGTGTGGCTGGGTTATGGCAACTTAGGCATAAATCTAGATTCCCACTTTCATAACCATTGAATGAAGTTCATCCAGTTTGAAGTTTCGATCGGTCAAGGTCAGTTTTCCGCAAAAGAAACTTTCCAATAGAGGCAACTATCCTGTGTTAAATGCCTTGGTGCAGCTGTCCGGTGGTCAGTTGTCTTCACACTCTGCCTCATTTATCAGTTTAGGCTTGTGTAATCAGCATCAGCATATGATTCTTTTTCAGCCAGCTGACTTTTTAGCTAACTGATACTGTAAACAAGATGGTATTTTTAATCTTACCATCCCGTAACGCTGTTACTTAATTCTAATACGTCTGCCAGGGGCGGACTTCAGTCTGAACCAACATGAACCAAAAGATACAGATCACAGGTTTAAAGAGAACTGCCAGGGTGACAAGCCTTATCAAAACACCGCCTACTTAATACAGGTTATACTGAAGCAAAAATCAAGTTTTCTGGTATACTATGCCGTATTCTTAAGGTCGCTGTGACCGAGTAATTTATCCATTAGTTTTGAGCACGTCAGAAGGCGCAAAACTGAATGCCGCATCGCCAGGAATTTGAAAGCCTTTCATCAGAATCCGCAAATTTGTATGTTGCTTCTACAACCCAGAATTAATTGTGTGCCCGTAACATCATCCTTACTTTTTAAGAGGACTGACCCGTCAATCTATTTTCGATACCCGGAAGGACAACATCCGTTTCCTGGGAACTTAACGGTGGACTGAAATAGTCAGTTTTAGTGACACGTCAAACTGCCACGTGGATTACACCAAGAGAGAGTGAATTGATAAATGAGAGGTGGATCAGTTTACTGAGGCTGGAAAAGAGCACATGCTTTCGGCACTCAGCAACCTTGAGTAACGCATTATAATCAAGCGACTTGGACTTAATGTTCAGACCATCAACGGATTTATTTACCGTTTTACCTCAAAGGCGGGTGGTTTGTTCTCGGAGTAGCATGTGACACGCACAGTTATGGCGCATACCTTGTGTCAATCTCCAAAATCCAGCCAGTATGCTTGATCTTATTGTTCAACGCACATGCAAGTTTCCGACTAGAAGATTGAAACAAATAGGTTTGGCCATCGGTGTCCAGTAACCAGGATAACTTTGTGACCATGGTTGACGGACTCTATAAAGCATATATGGCGCATAAAATTTTTAAACTGTGTTTGCACTTTTAGTCATCTGCCTTCAATGTATAGGACAAAATCTACCTGTCCTTTTTTCTAGGAACGTAGGCTGTCATTTCAGATTCGCCAAGAGATAGTAAGGCTAAATGTGGACGTCTGTATCTCCTAAGGCAACAGTGTATGAGAATTCAGGGTGGCGATCACCATCATAATCTAATGACCAAACGCTCATTCTTCAGGACAAGAGCAGTGGCGGTAAGTCAAGGCTTTCGACCAGGGAAAAACACTGCCAGATATACAGGATTCTCGCGCTGCATGTCACTCCAGGCTTCACGGTCTGGCTGGTTGTATTTTTAGTGCGTAACAAATGGTGACAGAGAGCCCGGTCAGTTGGTCGACTGGATAAATTTGGTCTCTCTGCCATCATCGACCCATTTTACAGGAAATCTTTCGGCATCGGGTTGCAACACCTTTACTGTCAGGGCTCCAAAAATATCTTCAGCAGATGAGTGAAGTAGCCCTTACGACACGTCATGATTGAGCTAGCTAAAGGCGGTGTGGTGAAAAAAACAAGATAGCAATCACATCCAAGTTTATCTTAATGAGCCTAGCAACACTGGAGGGGAAATTAAAGCGTGGAGTCAAAATCACTATGTCCCGCCAAAATCCAGCAACTAAAGCTGAAAAGAACACTGGGGTGCTTAAGCAATTTTAAAAGACAAAACCTTCGGGTAAATTATATCGCCCGCGTTAATGGCACCTCCTGACGAAATACACTCGTTTGCAGACTGTCTTAATTTTAACCTGAGACTCAATTGACTCCCAGCTAAAACCTGTTTACGGCATTCTCCAGCAGAATGTATTTTCAGTCCAGACGATATGCGTACATTGCTTGGACGGAACGTACGCATTACCTCGGCGACCTATTGAGTTACACGGGGGTGTCTGCGCGACATTCGCAGTCTCCTGGTCCTCCAAGTTGGGGGGCTGGAACGTGTGGCGACTTGTTCCGTAAAAATGATAATGTACCTGTATTTCCTTCCAAACACCGCTGCCTCGCGGTCAGGCTTTTGAGCCACGTATAGCCATGAATGGCACATTTACAGGAAAACTCATGCCACACCGACCGTCGCGTGGTGCCACTAGGAGCGTTGCATACGACAGGTCGGGTAAGCGAAAAAGGGCTACTGCTGACGCTTCTTTCTCCTTCACATACGTTTTCTTCTCCCTCTCCTCATCCCATTAATAACTCTCTCCTTGTAAGCCCAGCACTTAGGACTGATGACTCCGTTCGTCATGCATCGGTTTTGCGTGCAGCGTCTGCTCGTCACATGGTGCCGACATCTTCAGGAATCTCCAGATCAGTCCTCAAGCCTCGACA